CTCACAGGCTTACATAATTATGCTTAGAAGTTGACACTTGACACCATAAAACCATAAAATTAGATATGTTTAAAAAGCAGAAGGTTTATTTTGCAAACTCTTCTCTCCGATTAGATTACCAATCAAGTACCAACGAAGACATTTTTCGTTAATTTAATCTTGAGATTGAAAAATTAAACCATATAAACCTACCATAACATGTTCTTTCAAAATTATTTTAAATTAGTACAAAAAGATTTGTGAAGCCTAAAACGTAGGGCCAGGAAACTTGGTCATGTATTAGGAGAAACAAAATGTCACAAATGTTTTGTGTTTCGTTAACTTTTTCCCGTCAACGGAGAAAACTTTATATCTAGATAACATTTAACTAGTCCTTAGTTGCTTGGCGTAAGTTTTCTATTGCAGCAGAAATACCAGTAGCTTCATCAACTAAACAGTCAGATCCAATGCTCTGCTTCACTGACTCCACAAAATCCTCGGCTTGATCACAAGCCACACGGAACAATTCCCATTTCTCCTTGAAATTCTCCAACGCAGCAACATTAGTGTCCTTGGACTCAAGTACATTAGCCGAGGCAAGAACAAACTTCTCGTATGCTTTGTTCAATGAGTCTACGATGCTATCCATTTTGATTATCCCCTTCAAAAACGGATTATCTCAACAAGTATTAATCAATACGATTATATGAGATTTTAAGTTAAAGCAATCACAAAAGGAATCTAACAGGAGTCCAACAAAGTCTAAATCTCGGCATGTATCTAGAAATAAGTAACCCTAAATCTTTAAAATAAAAGTTACACCTTTGGAGAGAAAATCAATAGATGAATAGGAGAACCTTACCTGAGATGAACGATTTTGTGCCAAAATTTTCTTTCTCTCTGCATAGAAAATTTAGGTTATGCCTTTAGGTTAAAATTAGGGTTGAGCCTAAAGCTAAACTTAATGTCAAATCAGAATTGTAAATAAAGACCGCGTTTTAAAACAAACCGGACCAAGCTAGATTGGATTAGTCCATCAGGTTATCCACTAGAATTTATGGGAACAAATGAAAAAAGGAACGAGAAAATGTTTTTGATCCGTTAGAAATCCATGGCTTTTATCAATATACCAAATGAAGACTAATGCAAAATCCGGTTATTGGCTTCAAAAGATCTATCACTATTAAATGATATGGTAGATACGGTGATCGACTTTTGACAAAAAATATGGATCGCCGTTGACGTCAAATTGACAGTAAATTAAAGTAGACGTATTATATAAATATCCGCGTATACACACAGGACTTTCCCGTAATTTGTTTTAGTATTTTGGCTTCGTTTGTATTTAGTTTGATAAAATCATTGTCTTGATGTAGCTTTGTAAATTTTTAGTATTTGGTATTGAAGTAAAAAAACAACAAGCCCTTTCTAGTACTCTTTATACAATACTATATTTTTCGATATTATTTCTTTCAGTAATAATAATTTGGATTCAGAATTCTAACGTAAAAATGATTATGTGTGTTTGCATATTTATCTTCGAGCATAAGACGCCCAACAATTCAGAATTATAAATTTACTAGAATAGAACCCGCGTTAATATGCGGGTAAATACTATAAAAATTAATAAAA